TCTTGCACACGCGCGCTCTTTCTCTTGCACACGCGCGCTCTTTCTCTCGCACATGCTCTCTGTCTTGCACTCGTGCGCACACACTCTCTCTCTCTCTCTCTCTCTCTCTCTCTCACACACACACACTCCCTCTCTCTCTCTCTCTCTCTCTCTCTCTCTCTCTCTCTCTCTCTCTCTCACACGCACTCTCTCTGTGTCTCTCTTTCCCCACACCCTCACACACACATGTCTATGGGGTGAATTTGTATTTGCTGATGCTGCTTGGCCTGCTGTGTTCATCCAGCTCTGCACCTCGTTATCTCACTTTATGGACAGTTGGTCAATGTGGAGTTTCATAAATTCCTAATTCAGAAATAAAACCAGTCTGACTCCAAACCGCGCACAAACCGATTCTAAACATGACCTCACACCTAACATGCATTGTCTAATCTAAAATGTCACCTCTTCTTTACACTGATTAAATCTTTAGTTTTCTCAGAGCATTGATTTGAAAGGAATTTGGTGATTTACATATAAAACCTAATAATTGAAGAAAAATTTAATCGCATCTTAGGTTTAATACATCTTCATCGGTGGTGTGACTCGTTCATCTTTTACTTATAAATTCTGTGTCTGATACTACCTCTCTCACTAACGCCTGAGGAAGGGGCGGACCTCTGAAAGCTTGTGTTTTCAAATAAACCTGTTGGTCTATAACCTCGTGGCGTGTGATTTCTGACTTTCTCTTTTGAGTTTCTGTTAACCAGCAAGTTGGGCTAGTTTCCTCTTAACTTGAATACAAGGAAGCTTGCAGAAATTCAGCAAATGGCTTTACTGTGATTTTAGCTTCTATGTAGATGGGGAAGTGTTGCCTCTGTCCCCTGCCTAAGAATCGGACATGTCCGTGTGTCACTCTGCCACACAACAGTATCCTGACAGACAAGCAAGACATTGGAGTGTTTATTCTGGCTTGTATGCATCTCGGTTAACACTAGTACTGATGTTCATCGTCAACTGTATGACTCACTTCAGCAGAGTTCTGCAAATTTGTATTAGTAGCTCACCAGATAGGAATTTCTGCATAGACTGCTCAACCACAAAAAAAATGAGCCATAGGTAGTATAGGAAAACCAGAGTTTCAGAGTTGCTCGTAATTTGCCTTTCAGTGATCTAAGAATGTTTGAATATTTATCCAGACACTAAATTTGAAATATGGGCAAAAGAAATGTATCTTTTATGGTGAACCCCCATTTTTGTTGGTGGCATATAAAATAACGCAAAGCATCCGAAACAGTGGAAGAGCATGAAAAAGAAGTAAATTGGCAGGGCTTCAGAAAGACAGATTCGGTTAGCTTTCAGCTTACTCGAAGCTAGTCCTGTTGGAGATAAGTTTCTTTTGGCCATTTCTCTACAATGGTCATCATACTTTGAAAACAGTTCATTGGTTGTTAACTGCTTTGGGAGATCCTGAAAGGTGAAAGAAATTCACGTTCTTCCTTGTTTGTTATTCTACCTTTTTGCCTTTATGCTTTTCTTGTATCCAACATCCAGCAATAGCATCTCTGCTGAAATGAAGTTTTTTTGGGTGACTAGAGGTCCTGAAAGATACTTTGTGAATGCACATTTCTTTTTTTCTTTATAATGTGAACTACTGATACTCTTCAACGTTTTCTACTTCCTGTTGAAACTTGAGTTAAAAATTGGTCCAGATGCCACATCCCAACCATTGACCAGTCATGATTAGAAATTCTAAGTTGGCTGAATTATTGATGATATATCCATCCACATCTCAAAAGGATGTCAACATTACTGTGTATCTCATTTCCTCAGTTTAATTTCATCATATAACTTGACCTAATTGAAGGAGAATCTTTTCCATGTAAAACCTTCATAAGCATTCTGAACTGATTCCAGCTGGAAGTAGCAAAATTACATGGTTCTCAGGATGTTTCACAAACCATGGATCTCTCTGGCTTGATTTGTGGGTGCCTAATAACAAACTTAAGTCTACAAGAGTTAAATCCAACAAGAAGATGAATCTGTAATCAAAACTGATAGATGTTATATAATTGCAATAGTGCCAAAAGGAAACATCATTTTAAAATTGTTTAAAATACATGAGGATTGCTTTGCTGTGTTCTATTAAATCAGTTTGTCCAACAAACAAAGATTAAACATGGCTAGAAGAAAAATCTCAAAAAATTGTATAAGAAACAGCTAATTAACCATTTCAGAAAATTTCTATTGAGTTGCCTGTCAGCTTCATTCTTGCAACAAAGTGATTGCATCCTGTTATTTGTCACATCCGAGGGCAGCGAATTGCTGTCTGTGCAGTGAACGCTGCTCTGTTGAGTTATGATTTAGCAGCATGCTCTGAAAACAGCAGAAAATAACACTTCCTCCAGGTGTGTTTCCTAAGCTAATCTTGAGCGCTTGTTTCAAACTTTCCAGAGTTGCACAACCCATCCTGAAAACTAGGATAGTTTTGTACTGTAACACCATAAAAAGTGTGATCCATTCAATTGGATGTTCTTGAAAGAATGCCATTAAGTTTCTGATCTGGGTTAGCATCCTGCTCCAGATACAATCCATCATATTTTTATATACTTCCTGAGTTTTTTCACATTAAAGTAACTACTTTGCCATACAAGTCTCCTAAAAAAAAATGATTCTTAAGAACTGAGTTTCCCAGCTTCCAGATATATATAGTACTAACTGAATGAATACTGCATCCATTAACAATGGTGTGCCTTGACAGAAGTAACAGTAAGCTAAAAGTTCCTCTCATTCGTCAAAAGGAATTTCTATTCATGCAACAACAACTTCAATTCCATTAGCTGTTTACTGTCACTGGGTTATAATCTCGATGTCTGGATTGTCCTTTATACAGTTTTTTTTTTTGACTTTATAATTTTGTGTGGTTGGTGACCAGAACTGAATTGCATCATCTGCAAATTTACTAACCCAACCATTCACATTTTCATCCAAGTAATTTATATTTATCACAAACAACGGAGGTCCCAGTATGGATCCCTGTGGAACACACTAGTCATGGACCTCCAGCCAGAAAAGCACCCTTTCACCGCTACCCTCTGCCTTCTATGGGCAAGCCAATTCTGAATCCTCACGGCCACGACACCATGGAACCCATGCATCTTAATCATCTGGATGAGCCTACCACGAGGGACTTTGTTGAAAGCCTTACTAGAACCCATGTAGATAACATCCACTGTGCTCCCTTCATCAATCACCTTTGTCACCACTTCGAAAAATTTAATCAACTTAGTAAGACATGACATGCCCCCTACAAAGCCATGCTAACTGTCCCTAATGAGGCCATGCTTTTCCAAATGCATGTAAATCCTACCACTAAGAATTCTCTCCAGAAGCTTCCCAACCACCGACATGAGACTCACAGATCTGTAGTTTCCTGAGTTGTCCCTATTTCCCTTCTTCAACAGAGGAACATCATTAGTTGCTCACCAGTCCTCCAGGACCTCTCCAGTGGCTTATGAGGATACAAAGATGTTGGTAAAGGACCCAGCAATCTCCTCTCTTCCCTCTTTCATAACCTGGGGTAGATACCATCAGGCCGTGGGGACTTATCCACCTTAATGCTCTTCGAGACCCAACACCACTTCTTCCTTGATCTCAAAATGCCCTAGCATATTAGCATGATCCATACAAATCTCACGATCCTCCATATCCTTCTCCTAGTGATTACCGATCTCACCCACATCCTCTACCACTAAGCACAGGTTCCCTCCTTTATCCTTGAGTGGTCCTACCTTCTCCTTAGTTATCCTCTTGTTTTCAGTGTATGTATAGAATGCCTTGGGATTCTCTTTAAACCCTACTTGCCAAGGTCATTTCATGGCCCTTTCTTGTTCTCCTAATTCCTTGCTTGAGTTCTTTCCTGCTTTCTTTATATTCCTCATGGCCCTGTTCGATTTTAGCTTCCTAAACCTGACATATGCTTCTTTTTCCCTTTTGACTAAATTCACAACCTGTTTTTGACTAGCGCAGACTCCGTGGGTCAAAAGACCCTTTTCTGTGCTATAAATCTCAATAACACTATAACTCTGAAGGAGCCAAAACTGTTGACAGCCTTCCAGCTGTGGTCAAACTAGTGTCCTCTATACTTTTGGAAAGACTTCCCTATTTTTGTACTCCATTCCCTTTAAAATAAAGGCTAAGATCCCATTTGTCTTTCCTCTAAGCTGCTAAATTTGTATGCTAGCTTTCTGTGATTCATGCACAAGGATTCAATTCTTCCATGCTGCAGCTTTCTGTACTTTCTCCATTTAAGTAATATTCAACTCCTCTGTCTTTCCTGCCAAAGTGCATAACCTCACATTTTCCCGCATTATATTCCATTTGCCAAGTTTGTTCAGCTCTTTGTTTTGCCTTCAATCTACTGACATTATAACTCATGGTTGGTATCCTTATTAATTGTCCTCATCTGCACTAATATCGGTAGTTTACTGTTTTATGTGTTGGTGGTTCTTGCACAATGTGCACTGACCCTTTATTGTGGTTAATTAGTTGAAAAGAATGTAATATCTGACGTGAGCTAATAGATTCTGAATCTCACTGTCTTTCCAGCAGCAAAAGGGAGGCAGATGTCTGATTGAGACAACCGTATAAAAGGAACAAAGGAATATACTCACTGTAAGAACACCTCAAATTCCTTTAGAAAGCATCATGAGTGGTACCAGCAATGAGGAATTTCAGTTATTCAGTGAGACTGGGTAGGCCAAGAAGGATGAAGAGGATGTTTAATTGAGAAATTCAAAATGGTTAGGAGTTTTGACGAAATAGAGAGGGACAAATTGCTTGCACTAGCAGGAGGATTAGTAAGCAGAGAATTTAAATCGTTGACAAAAGTTCTGAGGGAGGCCTAGATGAAATAGTTTTGCCCAATTATCACGAAAACTGAAATGCATCTTTTAAAAGGATGATAAAAGAAGATTCATTCATAACTTTCAAAAGGTTATTGGAGGTATAATTATGGGAGCAGAATACAGGGCTCTAGAAAGTGCTCAAAGGAATAGAACACACTACTATACTTGACTCACTTTCATTTCATTGCTTTTGAACACAATTTAGTAGTAAGTATGGATAGGAGAGGAAAGTGCCTGTTAGGCATTTCTCTGACTCAGCTGATATCAAATGCTTTTATTTTGCTTATATTGAATAGTGATAGTCTTTTGAGAAGTCCTGTTGCTGATTAAATAGATTTCATATGTTAAGAATAAATTTGTTGGTAAAGTGTAAATCAACCGGCTAATTGAATTAGAATTTATACAAAGAAGATGACAGATAATGTATTTAATCTAGAAATGAGCTGCAGGCTATTGCAAATGAATTTCACCTACAGTATAACTAGCATTGCAGCTGAACAGCTGTACAAACCTAAGGTAAATAAATCTCAGATACATCTAAGGATTCTTCAGGAAACGAGGAAGCAGTTTCAAAACCTCGCAAAATATAAAGTACTGAGTACTGTGGAGATGCCCAGGAACTTGAGCAAGAGGGATATTAATCCATTCTTTCAGAAAGATAGCAACAGTAACTCAAGAAATTGCAGGCTTGTGAGCTTGATGCCTATTTCAGGTTTAATCCCTTGTTAAATAAAGTATGATTATAGAGCATTTAAAAATAGAGCTAAAATCACAAAAGATGACCGATATGGATTCACAAGCATGAGGGTTCACTGAGCTAATTTACCAATTTTCTTTGAAAGTGTGATAAAGGAGTTTGCTGTGGTGCACTTGGATTTCATTAAGGCCTTTGGTATGTTTTGTCAAGAAAAGCTGGTGCTAGAAATGAAGAAAGCAAAGATTGGTAGAAATATTTTATAACAAACAAATAATTGGTTGACAAAGAGCACCAGAGTTAGTTGTGTAAGAATTGGCTTGAACCTGGGAAAAATTTGTCAGTGAGATTCTTAAGTCTGTTTTGGGATCTTATTATGATCACTGTCATCAAATGTCATTCAACTTCACATGGGGTCACAATTTTGCACTTGTGCCAATCTGGGCTCGAAACTTCTTGTAGGGCTGTTCTATCATGGACTGCTCAACAACTGCTCCTGTACTAGCTGATGACCCTCCGCTCCAGAGTTCATGCTTCCTTGAACTGTGAAATCTGTACCCCAATGTTTATTCACCAACATATCTCCAGCCTTTCACCAACAACAAGTTTCATCAAGCTAAGTCTTTACTTGTGCTTTTCTCTGAGCTTCCAGCTTGCTCTGCTGCATCAAGTAGACACTGCTTAAGGGCTTTCAGTCCACGATATCAGCTGTACTGACCTATTAGTGACACTCGGCTTCTCATGAAACAGCACAATTTCCAGGTGGAGTGGAAAGTGAGGACAAGTACCAGAACGTGCTTCCAGGAGGGAGAGGAAGGGAAGAGAGTAGACATGTGGAAAATGTGGCAGACGTGGTCAAGAGCCCTGTCATCATAATTAGTGTAAATCCTCAGTTGAGGAGAAAAGGAGACATCTTAGAAGTGCTCTGCTGGAAAGTTGCATCATTAGAACACATGAGATAGAGACTGAGGAACTGGAAGAATGGAATAGAATTACTACATGGTGCATTGCATCTGGAAGTGTAGTCAAGGTAGCTGTGGGAATCAATCGGCTTATAATAAATATTAGAACTAGCCTTGACACACAAAAGTCGAGGAAGGGAAAAGTCGGAGATGAACCATGTGGAGACGAGCAAAGGATGCACAATTTTTTTATTCATTCATCGGATGAGGGCATTGCTGGCTAGGCTAGCATTTATTGCCCATCCCTAATTACCCAGAGGGCAGTTAGGAGTCAATCACATTGCTGTGGAGCTGGAGGAACACACAGGTCAGGCAGCACCAGAGGAGTAGGAAAGTCGACATTTCGGGTCAGGACCCTTCAGTACTGAAGAGCTGTGTTCCTCCAGCTCCACACCATGTTAGACTCTGACTCCAGCATCTGCAGTTCTTGCCATCTCCGGGTAAGTATGGCAGTTTCATTCCCTAAAGGACATTAATAAACTAGATGGGTTTTTTTCTCCTGACAGTCAACAGATTCGACCATCTACCATGGCGGGATTCCAATCCAGGTCCCTAGAACATTATCCAGGTCTCTGGGTTAACAGTCCAGCAATAATACCACTTATGCTTATGCCTCCCCCAATTGAAAACTAACTGTAAATTGCTACTTTGTTTTGCTGCAATGCAAGATAGTCACTTCAAAATGTAGTGCATTTCACGACTGAAGTCTACATGAGAGGAAAAGGTCAGAAAGATTCTCAGCTCAAAATTGTTGCTGTTTGTAAATTGCCTTCATATGTTGGCTGCTTTGAATTTCTGTCAGCTAAAAGTACAATCCAAATTAATTCTTCATTTTGGCGAGCAATGTGTTTTTTTAATGTTTAATAGTTTTTTCAGCTGCAAATTTCTATGATCACACTGTGGTCCAGCAGGAGTACAGTTCACAATTTAGGTATAGAGTTTTTCTGTTTGTGTTTGTCACAAGAAGTGTAAATTAAGTTCCCTTTAAAGCAGGATGTGTATCTAGAATGAACAGATGGGTACCAGACTGTGAAAATGCTTTTTGGAAAGTACATTTTATTTTAAAACTAAATATAATTGGTGCGTGGGTTAGCTCTGTTTTAAAGCAATATCAGTGCCGCAGATTGAGGAGATACAAATTTAATCCCCCAATTTAATCCATTTCTGATCATTGTACCAATTACTATGTATCCTTGCAGCAAAAGACAAAATCAAATGAGAAAGTCTGCTACTCTCCTTGAAGCAGCCAAACTGTAGAAGTATTCCAAGAAGTCGAAAATAAAGTTAATTGCTCCAGATGCAATGACTGGTGTTCATTTAGTTTCCTTTAACAGCACCTTCCAAGCCCCTGGGGTCTTCCATCAAGAAGGACAAGGGCAGCAGATGCATGTGAGCATCACCATCTGCAAGTCGCACACAATGTTTACTTCGAACTATATTTCTGTTCCTTCAATGTTGCTGGGTCAAAATCCTCCCTAATAGCACAGTGAGGTCTGTCCAACCAATGACTGCAGCAATTCAGGAGGACAGTTTGACACCATCTTCTCCAGGGCAATAAATGCTGGCCTAATCAGTGACAACTACATGTCAAGCCCATGAACAAACACAAAAAAAATTAACTAGGTATTGATAGTCAACCAATATCACTGCATTAGATTATTTGGCTATTTAACTTATTGTGTGCATATTAATTGGCATATTTCAACACATTACAACATTAACTGCAGCACGGAAGTACTTAATTAGCTACTGCTTGAAAATATTCTCAGGTTGGGAAAGGTGTGTTAGAATTTTTGTGAGTATGATAATTTAATAACAATCCAGAGGTTTGGATTTGAATTACTAACATATGACAAAGATCTTTCAGCCCGATTAGTTTATCCATGTAGCTAGACTCCATAGACCTCACTTCCTCCTCAACTCAGATCGATACTGCATTTAATCAGGTGTTCTGAAGATGAGTAACTGGACTCGAAACATTAACTGTTTTCTCTTCACAGAGGCTGCCGGGCCTGCTGAGTTTCTCCAGCAATTTTTGTTTTGGTTTGCTGCACTAAATTGTTTTTTTAAAGGAAACTTGGATTTTCACCTTTTATTCCAGTTGGAAACATCATTCAAGTTTAGATCAAACTTTAATGTGAAGAACTTTACAGTGTCTAATGACATTCTAGTAATTGCAATGACTCTCCATTTCCCAAATTTCTCCCTGTTCTCTCTCTGTCTGTCTCTCACACAAAGCTCTGGAATGAGTGCCATCTGATCGAGAGACCAAGTTTTTTTTAAACTCATTTCACCTTGTCTTGCAACGAAATACCAAATATCTCGCAAACACAATTTTGACTTTCTTATTTGTGTCTTCCAGTATGAGAAAGTAGTAAATCAAAATATTTACTGCCTCTCCCCGGTTCTATTCTGGCTAACATTGTTTTAACATTCTCACTTCTTCACTGACAGCTCTCTTGCAATACAAAAATACTTCAGCTTTTGCCTCTTTCGCTACTCTGTTTTAATTTTTTTCTCTAGTTTCTTCTAGTCACCCTTTTGATGAGTTGTCTAACATTCTCAGAGTCATCACAGTGCCCCTTCCAGTTCCCTGTTCAAAATAATAGAAACAGATGTACCTCCTGACAACTTTTAATTTTCCTGCTAATCCAATGAAGGCCTCACTTGTTTAATATAAGCTTGTGCTCGTCCTTGATGTGCATTTGTCTTACACATTCAACACTACGGAATCACTGCAGTGTTATGATGCAGAAGGAGGCCATTCGGCCCATCGTTCTGGCACCAGCTCCTTAAATGAGCATCATTGTTGAGTGCCAATCTCCTGCTTTTTGACTATACCTTTACATTATTTTATTCAAATAATCATCCGATGCTCCATTGAAACCTCAACTGGACCTGCCCCAACAACATTTCCAGACAGTGCATACCATACCCTCACTACTTACTGAGTGAATTGTTCTTTCCTCACTTCTCCCTTGCTGCTTTTGCCCATCATTTTAAATCTGTGCTTGCCTGTTCTTGTTCCTTTTACAAATTAGAACAGTTTCTTCCTATTTAGTCTAGTCAGCATTTTCCTTTTAACATACTCCTTTTAATGATGTTGCATCTGTCCTCTTGATGAATACCCTCCTTCACTCTATTCACTTCAGTTATACTTTTAACTTGGTCCTTTAGTAGTTATAAACTTGTTCTTCTGATCTTGGTGTATCTGAATCCAAGAAGATGTTAAACTTAGTTGTGCGATCATTCTTCCCCAGGCATGCTATAACTTTTATTTCTTGTATGTTATTGAGTCATCTGATACATTGGATTTTTAACTAAATTAGGCAATATTTGAATAGTTTATGTTGTGCGTGTTGTGCATGTCCTTATCTGTGACCCCCTTTTTTGACATTGAAGACATTGAAAAAACATTGACTTGAAGCTGTAAGTTAAATAGAGATGCACTTTTCTCTATGCAATGACTGAAACAGACAGGCAGGAAATAAATGAAAGCCTGTTCGCACCTGTAAAGAAAAAGGCAGGCTACGTTTCTGTCATTCATTAGAACTGCAGGTCTGCCAATACCTGTATGGCACTAAACTAAAGGAGTGTTGTCTATGCATTGAGTGTTTGCAAACAGCTCTTTCTGCATATACAGTTTCTGTTCTGTGTATGTTGGTTTCCTGATTTTCATCTAGCTCGTTGGGTTTTTTATTTGTATCAATTGTCTTCATAATGTAACTGTTAATTTAGTCTGCTTTAGAATTGACAATTAGATTCAGAAAGCAGTTAGCTGAGGGGAAAAAAGGAGTTGAGAAAATAAGGTGTAATTTGGCAGTTTTTAAAATTGGTTTCACAGCTGATACGTGGAGAAAAAGAAGATCGCGTTTTCAGCTTGAAAGCAGCGCTACTCCGAGCTCACTGAACTCAGTTTGGCAATGGTGCAGGAAAATATAATTATCATGTCAGGAATCACAGACTGGATTGAGTTAATGCAAGTGATTTGTAGTGCTTTTGATTCTAAGTAAGAAAACAGTGCAGTCCTCTCTCTAGGCTTGCTAATTTGCTATTCTGTGCTTGTATTTCAGAAAGTTTCATCAATGACCCAAAAGATCATGAGGTGATGATGCAGATTGATTGTGAGGTGATGGCCACCAGAATAATTCACATAAAGTCATCATCTATACCTTCCTTTCTGCGAGAGCGACGGGAGAATCATACTGATTCATACCAGCGTCCATCACCTGCGCCTACCCATGCAGCACCTCACATCATCACAGAGTCGACCCATGGGAATGTCTTCAAACTTTACCAATAGTGCTTGGTTTAAACCATATAACATCTTGAATCTCTAGACTGTTTTCCAAAGGGTCATAAGATCTACTTTGAATCTAAAGTAGCATGTCAGTCAATTCTTGTATAACTTGGAAAACAAAATTATTAAAGAAGATTTTTCTTTTTAATTAGTGAAAATCTTAGCCGATGTAGTACAACTTAAAAACAAAAGCAGAAATTGTGGAAAAGCTCAACAGGTCTGGCAGCATCTGTGGAGAGAAATCAGAGTTAATGTTTTGGGTCCAGTGACCCAAGTTCTGAGGAAGGGTCGCTGGACCCAAAATGTTAATTCTGATTTCTCACAACTGATGCTGCCAGACCTGTTGAGCTTTTCCAACAATCTCTGTTTCTGTTTCTGATTTCCAGAATTCGCAATTCTTTCAGCTTTTAGTACAAATTAACCCAGTTTGATCTATCTTGGGTGATTCTGATTATCCACCTAACTTTTACATGAGTCTGTATTAAACTTGGGTCTATTTAAAACAAAATGTTGCTTTGAACAGATTATACTTGTGAAATATCAGAATCTTTGGGAGTTGAAATACTTGAAGGAGAAACCGACTATATGTATTAGATGAAAGCAATAGTACTAAGCATTCTTAATCTTCTGCAAAACTGCTGTTACCAAAGCCAGCATATCAACAAGGTGATATATCAGTGTAGCTTGAAATAAAAATATGGAATGGCTACATGAATTGAACTATTATACACTCCCAAAAAAATTCAAAGACCACTATAGAGCTTGTTTTCCTTTAATTTTCCACTTTTGCTTGACAAGTTCCTTTCGATAATTTTGGCCAGTTTGTCTATTCCATGTAGGCTGGACCTGTGATTGCAGCAACTAAAAAATATGCTGAATAATCTGAAGGAGGCCATGCGCAGCAATGTTGTGAATGAATTCTTTAAAAATGTGGGAGATTTCAGGTCTATTCAACACTGGACACGTTTTCTCCTCCTATCTCCTCCAACCCTGGTTGAAGACTCTCTCTGGAGCATAAACCAAAGCTCCTAAAGAACTCAGGTACTTTGTCCTAGTTGTTTTGGTTGTTGTTTAAATGCAAACCAAGTGAGTCCAGGCTATTTGTCCATTCCTGCATGATATGATTCCTGTCTACCTGCAGGGACTCTGAATTGATGATCAAAGCAAAAATCCTGGTTCACTTTTCTTTTTCACTGCATGAGCTTGGCAGTGCTGCAGCAATGTTGCCATTTCCCATCACTGTCCAGATTGGTATGAACCAACTTTGGATCACTGAACAATAATCAGACCTCAGACACTTGAATCAGTATCATAGCATATTATAGTGCAGTTTATGGACATTTAAATTTGAGTTTAAATCTCCAATTGCCTTGACAGTTCGTGTCCAGACTTAGCAGTTCAATAGAACATTCTGCTCAATCAAATGTAAATTGAGATATTCATATCCAATATTTGGATGAGTTCATCAGTTCACTAGAGTTTATCAGTTGCTTGATAGCAGGGTTGATTAATCAAGGCTCACTGTTTGCATCATTGTCTCAAAATGCACATCTCTTGCTCCCCCATATATCACGAAGAATTCCACCCAGCAAACCTGTTTAGTCTCATTCCAATGACAACAGCTGTCCCTGTCAGTAAATTACCATCATTTGAATCCACTTAATCCAGAAGCCAAGAACATGTATTATGTTTTCATTTATTATTCACACACACTACCCAAGATTGTTCAAGGTGCAGCCTGAGAATGCTGATTGTGCATGCTCCGTTCAGGGTCTTTAATTTGTTTCTTACCTACAGCTCAAGAATTGTGAACTTATTTTTAAATAACGTTGCACTTAGCTACATTTTTCATGTTCATGCTTTCCTCCTTAATATCATTTATTTTGAGATTCAATTTTTTCAGCTAGTTCTGGAGAAACTGTGAAGTTGCAAATGTTCTTGTGCATTCTTAAAGTTTATCGTTGGTCTTCTGCTCAAGAAATTCATGTCTGCATTTACGACACACCATTAAAATTGATATTCTGTGGTAAATTTTGTGACATCTCCCTAATCTGTTGTTGAACTTAAGTTTACTTTTGCTTTGGCAAGTGCAACACGAAAGAATTCCATCCTTTGGATCGTGATCAGTTGACACCAAAAGTGAGGTCTAATGTCTCTTATGCATAGCACAGGTTTCCTCGTATGAATGTTCAATAAGACTGGAATTTGGCTGCAGCAGGAGTAAAAGCTTTCAGAAGATCATGTATTTATTGGCCTTTGTTTTGGAAGCCGCCTCCAACTTTGAGCAAGGGAGCTTAACCACGAATCATTATAACATTGGTTTATTAAAGGACATAGTTGTTGTCTGTCTATAGAATTCCCAATCTGGACCTTTAAGTTCCCTGTCATCATCATCCCACTTCCGAATGCCAAAAATAAACTCCTTTTTTGCTTGAACTGTGGCTTCAATCAATACCCATAAGCAAGCACATAGAGTATATTTGTGTAAATACACCCTAAATATTTGATATTTACTATACCAGTTCTGCTGTTACAATCAAAGTATCTTGTTTGATTTCTTTTAACTGCAGTTTGATATTCTTGCAAATCTGACAGAAGAACAAAAGTTTCTTATGGGTTGAAAGCATCTATAAGTATACTAAATGTCATTCATTATGCCAGTTTTTTAAACCTTATTCATTGGCTCTCCTTGCCTCATCTCTCCCTTCCTATTCTCCCAAATTTTCAGTCTTTATCCCTCACCCAGACCTGAAAATCTGTTCGGCCTCTGAGGCCAGCACTCTCAAAAGCTGTTTTCAACTTTGCTCCCAACTCCACCTCTGCCTCAGCTGATCTGGTGCTGAAGCTTTTATCTGTGCCTTTGTTTCCACTAGACTTGACTATTCTAATACACTCTTTCTGGCCTCCCACATTCTACCCTCAATAAACCTAAGGTCATCCAAAATTCTGCTGTCCTAACTCCTACCAAAGCCCAATGACTCCTTTCTGTGTTTGCTAGACTACTTTGGCTCCCAGTTAAGCTGCTCATCAATTTTAAAATGCTCCTCAAATCCCTCCATGGCTTCAACCCTGCGAGCCCTGACAGCCCTGCGAGCCTCCCGGATATCTGCAGTCCTGTCATTTTGCTGTCTTGAGCATTCCTGACTTTAGTCGCTGCATAGTTAGTAGCCATGCCTTCAGTTTCCGAGGCATTAAACTGTGGAATTTCCTGCATAAACCTGTCCATCGCTGTTTCTATATTCCTCAATTTAAGATGCTCCTTAAGATCTACCTGCTTGACGATGTTCTTTTTCATTGTCCCAAGTACCTCTTGATATGGCAGGCTGTCATATTTTGTTTGTCAAAGCTGCTTTGAATGTTCTTGGGTAATTTTGCTCCATCAAAGGAGCAATATAAATACAAATTGCCACTATGATGTATATTCCCATTTTGTCCTTAAGTTCACTGTGAATCCTCTTGATTGTGGCACATTTTATTAGTCGAATGCATGCAGGCTGGCTGCAGATGTATATTCCATGACGCCCAAGAACTGCTTGCCAATGCAGCCTCACTCCAAATGGCTCCTTCCCACTGCGAGTGTGAAAGTGAGAGAATGAGTAGATGTTATAGCAAGTGAGTGTGAGTGAGAGAGGAAGTGAATATGTGTGACAATACGAGACAGAATGTGAGTGAAAGAGAGTGTGTTATACAATGCCAATATCTGCTGACAAATTAAAATCCTCATCCTATTATAGCTCTGAATTGGGGTCCTGACAGGTTTCAGTCCTGTCAAGGTCACAGGAGGGAACCACTGCATTAATCTGTTTTTGAGTACCTAATTTACATGTTAGAATCATTGAAGATTTGAAGATCTTTTGAATTACAGGGGATTCTCCTATAACGTGTATTCCAGCAACATGAATTGGCTATAACGTGATTGACAAATAGGGCAACAGTATTTGTAAAACACGAACTTTGTGTTGGCTATAACGCGATTCTCAGCAAGTTTAGCATTAGACAACTATGACAATAATGCAGAAACACAAATGTGTGAGAACATAATGTTCTTATCGTATTATTTTGAAAAATTACATCAAGATCATTCCACATAAGTCTGGATAATTTGTCTGTCATGTAACAAATTTTGACCTTTCAAATTCACAATCGATTGGACTACCAGTCAGATTAAAAAAAAATAATAGAATTAAGCCTCAGTCCAAATTAGGCAATAGGTCTCTCAAAGAACAATCACGAGAAAACAGCTTGAGTAAATAAATGACTCTGACTCAGAGATAGTAAGAACTGCAGATGCTGGAGTCAGAGATAACACAGTGCGGAGCTGGAGGAACACAGCAGGCCAGGCAGCATCACAGGAGTAGGAAAGTTGACATTTCAGAAGGGTCCTGACCCGAAACATCAACTTTCCTGCTCCTCTGATGCTGCCTGACCTATTGTGTTATCTCTATACTGAGGAAATAAATGATTGTCAATGTCCGGTTGATGAGGGGTGGTGACAGGCCCATTACCGTTAGTGAAAACATAGTGTAACTGCACATTGGGTAGTTTTGCTGGTGACTGGGAGATGTTGCCGCTGAGTGGGTGAGATGATTGCCAGTGACTAGTTGTTGATGTTTCTGACAGGTAAATGGTCTTACCCATGAATGCATTTAGTTGTATCTGGGCAATGCTGTTGGCGAGTGGCTTGATATCGTTTCTAATTGGGCTTTGCCGTTAGTGCTGTTTGTAAAGTTGGTGATTGGGATTTTCTCCAATGACTAAGTGATGCTGCTGAAGATTAGATCATTATTCTTGGTGACTGGTTTTTGCTGCTGAGGTTTGATCTTGCTGAATCATGTTGGTGTTGGCACTGGGTGATATTTTTCCAGGAAATGCTGGATACCACTGGTGTCCTTGTGTTTCTGATGGAAGCTGGATACTGTTGGTGACCGTAGGTTTTATTTTGCTGTTGAAAGGATGCTGTCTGTGGTAGTTTAGACTTACTACTGATAGGTGATTAATGCTACTGGTGGCAGCAGAATGTGGCTGAGGGCATGCTATTTGTGATCGCGACTGGGTGATGATGAGTGTCATTGAAGTTTGGGTACGAAAGTACAATGTGTTGTTGATGCGTGGGAGGCAAATCTACGGCTGCAGTAATGAAGAACCTGTAAATCTGTTCATTACTCTCTGCTTCTTCAAACTGCAATGATTTTAGCTGTAAACTGAACTCTGGCACTTTACTGTTTTTCTCACTTCTATCGAATTAATAATACTGCTTGCGACTGGATGAGGCTAATACTGATGACTGCTGCCAATACTTACAGGAGAGTGGTGAGGTAGAATTTTAAGTGATTTTGAGTGATATTTTTTGGTGTTCTGCCCCAAACCCTCCTTTTCCCATAGGCCCGTTTATTATATTGTGCAAATTTCTGTAACGTGATGTTGCACTGGAATGCAGCTATCATGTTATAGCAGAACCCCCTGTAATTGACGTAACCAATTCAGGTCAACTTAGAAATGCCACATCACCAGTTGAAGGGCAGCAGCCTGCTGTTTTAATGTTCTGGTTGACAACTACCCTTCAACGAAAGACAGATACAGATTATCTGTATTATAAACAAAGAATGTTTGAAATAATTGGCAGGTCTGTGGAGAGAATAACAGAGATAATATATTACATTAATGACTATTTATCAGTACTGGGAAAAGTTAGAGATTCATAGAAGTTTTAAGCAGATACAGAGGCTGTGACAGTGAGGATGTGGGACAAAGAACAAAGGGGAAGTTGTAGTGCTTGTGACAAGGTCAGCCAGATGGACATCGCAGAATATGAGTTCCCTGATTGGGGCTGTTAATCTGATCCAATCAGGGAGCCCTGGCTGAGAGATAATTATAGGAGTGTCTGCCTCCTAACCCCCTTCACATTTTGCCACGTGGGTGTTTTCCTGGTGGTGGCAAATATAGGATAAAGTCTTTGCACAATGGTGAAAAAAATAACACGAGTGTCAGACATCCTGTGACTCTGAGAGCTAACTCTGAGAAAGCTGGATCAGTGTCAAGGACTCTCCACGTGTAAATAAAGAGTGACTTGGTGACGGGATACTGCCCTCTGTGGAGTTATTTCAGTGGCAACGAGAGAAAAGAATGCTCCTGAAGAAATTCACTCACACCAGTCTTTGAGTTGGGGTCAGCATTTCTGGCATCATGCCATTACTTGGGAAGCGTGACTTGTTCAATCATGCCAGTGAAGACTGTACCCAGTAGATGGAAAGATTGTGTTATTTATTAAGGGCAAATGACATTAGTGCAGATGAAAAGCAGTAATTCTCCTGACAGCTTGTGAATCCACAACTTTTTTGGTTATTAGGAGACACCAGTTACTAAAATCTTTTGAAGAGTAATATTACGACCCCAAGCCGCCTCCAATTCTGAGACACTATCGGTTTTACACGGCAATTCGAGGACCAGGAGAATCCGTATCAGGATTTTTGACTAGGTTAAGGCAACTGGCAGAGGCATGTGACTTTGGTTTAACCCTTAATGGGATGCTGAGAGATCATTTGGTATGTGGAATTAATGATGTAACCATGCAAGAACACCTAGTAGCTGAAGCCCAACTGGGCTTCAAACAGGCACTACAGCTGGCTTTATCATTGGAAAATGCGGCAAATGGAACATATGAGTGGCAGGGTATTCCGATGAAAGTGGACACCCTCACCAGTCCGACTGAGCTTGGGGAGCACCACTTAAGTGCAGGCAACTGCAGAGCCTCACCTGGGGCCAAACAGGTAAAATTTTCTTCAGGGTCTACGAAGGCAAGCCATTGTAGCTGCTGCCAGTATATGGACTTGAAACAGCAAAAGAGTCCCACAAGACCTCAATTGAGTAAGAGAACTCATAGGCCAGTATCCAGGAGAGTGCATACCCTGGAACGTCCACCTACCTTCATTTGGAACAGTCAAATTGCTTAGCAACAACCAATCAAAATAAACGCCTGGCTCAATGTTCATGTGGTTCTAGTGGAGGTTGATACCACAACGGCGCTTTAGTCTTAAACAAAATTCGTTCTGGGCTCCAACCCTTAAGTGTGTGCAAGACCTCAGCTGGACTGAGAACTTATATCAGGGAACATTTGCAAATTAAGGGTAGACCTTTGGTCCTGGTCTCTCATGAGAAGCAGCTAGTTCAGTTACTACTGATTGTAGTAAAAGGCTTTGGCCCAAGATGGATGGGACGAAATTGGTTGAGAAAGATTGACCTGGATTGGCTCAACATTTTTTGAATAGAAAATGGCTGTCCAAGGGAAGTCCTAACTAAAATACCTGGAAGTTTTTTGGGAAGGCATAGAGACTATCAAATGAGCCAAGGACACCTTACATGTTGACCAAGAAGCAATTCTCTGATTCTATATTGCCTGCCCAGTGCCATTTACCTTGCGAGCAAAATTAGAGGCAGAA